TACAAATTCAACGACAGTGTGTCCATCCATAACTCGCCAAGTACCCAATGATGTGGGTTGATGCATATTGGAAAATAAACCTGTTTTAACACACAACCGTTGCAATTAATTACAGCGTTTAATTAGTGTAATATGACAATTAAAGTGACTGATAATATATATATTATTTCTTTACTTACACGGTCAACTTCTAGCCAAGATTTACATCCATCCAATGGGTCAAACGGATTTCCCATTGCACTTCCTGCCCACCGGAACATCTCAAATGCACCAAAAAATGACGATTGCATGATTGTCCATCGAGCATCGTTCGTTCTCCGCTCATTCAAAAGCCTACCCCATATGTCAACATGTTGCATTTAAATTTAATTTAAACATAAGTAGCTTATTAATTATATTTAAAATTTAAATATAAAGGAATGTCTTCATACCGATTCATCTAAAAATCCCAATTCACTTGCATAAAAAAGCACATCCCAAAACTTTGCTTCCATTTTTTCATTGTATAACCGATGTTTCAAAAAAACAGTTGGTTTGTTTCCCATGTATAGAGCAGGGGCGTTACAACCCGGATTCACATACGGCTCCAATAAAAGTGTCGGGGGATCGCTGACAAATACGGGGGGTGGTGGTTCGTTGTGTATTACCCCACCTGTACGATATCGGGGGGCATTTTGAACCTACATTATATACGTAGTCAATAACTATCCATATAGTAATAAAATTATAGTAAATATGATTTTTAACATAGTTACCGAAACGTATGGGGAGCTAAGATATTGAGAAGGTTTCAATTGCCTAACCGGACGACCTTCTTTCACAACAAGAGGCCCGGGTATACGATTTTCCGCATACACAAAGTCTCTAGCAACAACCTTCTTTTTCTTCTTCTTCTACAAAAAAAATATTAATTTTTTTAATATACTTTAATAAAATAAAAAGTTTAATATAGAAAAAAAAATTATAACCTCCTTCACGATTTGTATTAGAATCAAACAATGGTGGATTATCAACATGTTCATCCTCGTTTACTCGATTTGATTTCTATGGACTACCAACCACATTCTCATTCCCCTACATTTAAAGAAAAAATAATTAATAAAAAGCTTCGTTAAAAAATTAATTAATACATCATATATATTGAAATTGATAGTAATACCTCAAAAGCTTCGTTAAAAAATTCTTCCAAATCATCACCCTCTCGAGTTCCACCTTTATTTTTCAATCCTCGGATTTCTTCCTCCAAAGATTGAAGTCTTGCCATTACTCTCGCGCGGTTTTTTTGTTAATTCCCACCGTATGAGTTCCCTCGGTAGACTTGGAAGATTGGTTGTTTCCACATGATGGATCAGACGAAGATGCCCCCTACATAAATTATTTCATATATCAATAATAGTTGAAAATTTTTATTATACTAGATTCTGCTTTTACAAATTTACTTACATCATTTCTAAAGTTGTAGCGTATAGAAGAAGGGACATTAGACGATTCAGAATTCAGACTAGTAATATATGACAAATAATGTGGAGTAGAGGACTCGACATCTGAGGCAATCATCTTTTTTTTGGGTTGATGCGCCTCGTCCTGATCAACATCGAAAACATCGTAAACTTTCGCCCAAGTTAACCTCCTAATATGAAACCAGCGCAATATACGAGGATATAAATAATTGCGTCGTATCGCAGCATTATCCCGAATTACTGGGAACATCTCCCATATCCATATCTTGTAATAAATATACGTTAATTTATAAGTGTTAGCACTAACTAAAATTTTCAAAAAAAATAAAACCGATAAATTATTAAATATATTTTTTAATTACTTAAATATACATTCAAAGGAATAACAAAACCCGATAGTGTGTACACAATCGCTTTTGTTGGATGGTTGGACATATGATCCTCAAATTTCTTAAACATACCCGACAATCTAAGGTATGATTTAGTCCATAGATAACTCCCCCACGAGAACCTATATTACAAGAAAAAAGTATTAGTTAAACGTATAAAAATTAGTATTTTATTATAAATATTAAATTGACAAATACCTATTCCATTGATCCAGGTTCTCCACCACCCACAAAAATTCCTTGGTGACTTTATCATTAAGCTCCTTTCCCAAAAAACCTTGATTGAGGATATATAGCAAAATGGCACGGACACCGTCGTGAGCCGATATGTCATTGAACCGTTGATTCAAGATAAGGAGCTCTAAATCTTCTACAAGTAAAGAAGTGTCTGTGCGATATGGGAAGACTCTGGACCGAAATGTATTTTCACCATATCTGTGTTTATACATGGTTGAAAATTCGATCCTTGATGTAGGACACTGGCCCATGTAAAGTCCGGTCACAAGACAAAACTCCTCCGGCCCAAATGACAGTGTACGTCTAGAAAACCTAAAATATAGACGTTCAGATGCGTCCGTTTCAGCAGTAGGACGCAACATATGCAGTAACAGCCCATGAATAAGAAGTCCGTCTTCGGACTGAGCTGGTAGGTCCAACAAGTAACCTAAGCTAGTTGTTGAAAAAAGATCGCGCACGGGTCCGTTCAAGCGACTCAAAACTTCATGCAATTTATGGCATGAAGCTTTAACAAATAAGTGACCCATCATCGTTTTTTTTGGAAGCTACAAAATTAAATAAACATTAAGGTTAAATAAAGTTTTATAAAAGAAAAAAACTGATAAACAATTAGAGAAAGCACACAATATAAGACTTAATCATTTCATATATTCTATCTACTTTGTATAAAATACCAAAGGAAATTTATTGACTACATTTTTTGGAATTTCCTATACTACTAGTATACCAAATTTAGCATTGTACTTTGAAAATGGTGTGACAATAACATATTTTATAACAAACCCGAAAGTACCAAAACACATTGTTATTTTATCAATACAATATACTTCAAAGTATCTACACATTATAAACATATAAACTTTTTCAAATCAATAGTACATTGCTATTGTATGCTATAATTGAAACATAGAAAATAACATCATTTTTAACAACATGCAAACATTGAATCATAACATACATACAAGGGGATACAATCCCTAAAAATACGTTTATGCTATTGTATGCTATAATTGAAACATAGAAAATAACATCATTTTTAACAACATGCAAACATTGAATCATAACATACATACAAGGGGATACAATCCTTAAAAATACGTTTAAACAATTTGTTTTTTTAAGATAAATGAAAAATATATATATATAAAACCATAGGTTTTAGGAAACCTACGATTTTTTTTTCCAACAAAAATTCATAAGATACATACAAGGGGATACAAATGTTTATTAGTTATAAATTTTTTTTATTAAAAAAAAACGTATTTTTTGGGAAGCCTACGGTGTACAAGAGTTTACTGCACAAACTGTGCAGTAAATGCTTGTACACCGTAGGTTTCCAAATAACCTACGGTTTCCTTTTTTTTGTTTTATAAAAAAAATATTATACAACTACAAAATACATAATGTTCCGATCATATTGAATCGATTTAAAAAAAAAACGAAAAAAAAAAATTCCGTACGGTTCATACGAAACCGTAGGTGTACAAGTCGACACTGCACAATCTGTGCATTGGGCACTTGTACACTGTAGGTTTCGTATGAAACCTACGGTTTTATATATATATATATATATATATATATATATATATATATATATATATATATATATATATATATATATATATATATTTGATTTTTTTCAAAAAAAAATTAACCTCATATACAAAACTTACTCCTAATCACATACACAGTAAAATTTTGATGAAAAGTAGACAAACCTGGTTGTTCTTCGGGTGTTCCATTGAGAGAAAAAAGTAGTCAAACCAAAGAAAACAATAGGAAAAAGACCTAAACTGAAATTTTTTTCATTATATACTTTGGACTAATGGGTCACGAAAAAGTAAACGGGCCCGTGAAACAGTAGTCCATTACCACGAAATAGTACTTTTCGGCCTAAACCAGTAGCCAACGACGTTGACCGTAGTCAACCATAAGTTGACAACGGTTTTGTGGGCTATTTTTGGCTAAGTGGTATTTTTTTGGCTATTTTTTGATAAGTAATTAACAAAAATGACTAGATTTGTATTTTCCCTTTTTTTTAATCTATGTTTTTTTTATCTGTGGACAGTAATTTTGGGAGTAATTTTGGGACAGAGGGGTATGATTTATTATCACTATAATATTGTGGGATTGAAAACACTATGTGTATCATCAGGTTCCTAAACCTAACTCACTCAAATTATATACATCACTGGTAGTGTTACTAAAGCTGATGAAACTTGATTATGAATGTTAAGTGAATAAGAGACAACATCTAATAGCAGTACAAATTGCATAATTTTCTATAATTATAATTTAATCTAAATAAAATATTATATTTTATATTTCTAAAAACAAATAAATTAAAGGGATCCTTAAATACCTAAACATTATTAGGTTAAGGGATGTGGTGTTTTTTTTTACCGATGGTAAAAAGGTGTCACATAAGCGCCACATCAACTTTTACAGTTTTTTACAATTTTCACCTACGACTAGCGTGTGGTAAATGGATTACTATGAGTTTATTTTTTTATTTTTTATTTTTTAGTTTTTAATAAAAAAATAAGAACTTTTGTACAAACCATACTAAAATTAAAAATAACATAAAATTAAAAATGACATTTTAAAAATCCTAAAAAAACAACATGACTTTAAAAAATTACATTAAAAACCTTAAAAAAAACATGAAGTGAAAATTTAAAAAAAATAAAAATAAAAATAAAAATAAAAACTAGAAAAAAAACATAACATCGAAATTTCATTTGTGGTTTAGTTTATATTTTTCGCGAATCGACTGCTTCACCGCTTTAGCCGCCTCTTGATCTTTGGGGTCGAAGTGTCTCACATCTTGCATTAACACCAAATATTCTGTGAGTCGGACAGTTTCAGCCATATGTCTCTCCAAAGTTTGAATTCAATTGTGCCATTTGTGTCATCATTTCCTCCGATCTAACTGACCGCTCAGTTCCGACTGACGAATTTGAAGTGCCGCTTTCCCTTTTCCTTTAGCTCGAGCTTTTGTTTTGTCCCTTCCCATTGGAGGAGGAGGCGGGTGTATTTCTTCGATGTCATCGTTATCTTCATTAAGATTAACGCCTATGTGACCATCCGATGAGACTTGTTGTGAGCTCGAATATGAAGATGTTCGGCTTCTTTTTGGCGGATTAGCAATTTCTTCATGTGTTGCAAGTTCCCTCCATCTAATGCTTCTTTTGACAACTTCCCACACATGAATAAACTTAAAAGGCTTTAACATATCATCTTGGAATGTAGCGTGTGTTTTTTTTCAACAAACTCGCTTCACTTTCTCCGCTAGCCCATTGCTTTTCAAAGTTTGTAAATTCCATTCCATTGTGTCACGAGTTTGTTCATAAGATTCTATTTCTAGTTACATTGGTCGGAGGTCCGATAATCTGGATCTCGACCCATTCCCTTACAAAATCGCTCTGTGATACGTAACCAAAATTATTCACGATTTTGACCATTTCCCGTGCCACCACCTTCGAATATGTCGATCCATGCTTTTGCTAACTCAACTTCTTCTTTTTGTGTCCATCTTCTCGGATCGGCCTTCCCTTTCTTTTGTTGTTGTTCTTCGTGTTCGGAATCAGAAACAATTTCGGTTGAAGGTGTGAAAGGCGGTTGGGATTGAAATTGGGTTTGCGATGGTTGAGTTTGAGGTTGAGATTGGAAATAGAATTGTTGTGGCATTTGGAATTGTAAATAATTGCTATGAATACCATCCATTTGTGGCCGGTAAGGTGGTGGTGATAACGGATCGTAGCCGAAAAGTACGAAAGAGTTGTTATCATTTTGGTTTGGAGCATTTTGTTTGGAAAAGTTTGGATTGTTGGAAGACATTTTCAATGAAAATATTTCTAAAGAGTGTATAGTGTGGTTAAATTTTGGAAAAATGAATTGTATATATAATAGATTTGTTAAAAAAAAAACAGAAAAAAAATGTGACATATAGCCATTGCCAACGGTTTGGCAACATTCACTTCTCCAAACGGTCAAAATTTCATTTTTTTGCAGTCGGTAGAAAGCCACCGTCGGTATTGTACCGGCGATAAAAATGAAGTCGTGGCTCATTGTTCACCGGCGGTGAATAAAGCCACATCGGATACCGTCGGTATTTAGACTAAGACACCGTTAAGCCTTACAAAAACATATTAATGGTGACGATAGCTGCCTCGAGTCGGCAACTCAGCAATTCCAAATCATAATGTGCGGCTGTTCGAATGTCAATGTGAAAACTAGCTTCTCATAGCATGTGGGGCCATAATCCCGTAGGTGGTTTGGGGCATTGGACTGGACTCGCGAGAAATAGAAATAAGACAGGTACAGGACTTTCAGCTTGGAGCCTTGGAGGTACAAGATGCTTTAGTTTGTTTATACATTTATAGCTAATACATTAGAAAAGTAAAAATAAATAAATAAATAAAATAAAATAATAAAATAATAAGGATTGCTGCACACCAAAACCGCCATCATATATCTGCGGTTAGAAATATAGTGATTTACTTTAGAAAAACGAATCATTATGTTTTTTAAACTTTTACTTAAAAAATCATTAAATTGTTTTTTTCATTTTACACATTACATTTTCAATTTTATTTTTATAAATCATTGATGATATGATATAGGCATATAGCCCATTAGATGGTCACTGTTCGATATCAAACATAATTTATTTAAACTAAACAACTAAATTTTGTATATATTTATATAAATGGCAAATTACTTTGTATCACCACAACAAACTATGTTTTTTGTCCTGAATTAATCATTAAAATTGAATTTCACCTATTAATTAGAGGTTCGACCCCAAAAACTCAGAAACTATTAGTTTTAAGTTGGACAAATACCATAAAAGCCTCAACATTTTTACGCATAATTGAGAAAAGCCCTATTAGTTTTATTTTTATTTTTATTTTTTTATTTTTTTATTTTTTTATTTTTGGCTCTAGCCACATATGGGACGTAGAGTTATCACAATAGTCTATTTAACGATTTTCATGGTTAACTCTGTTACTTTTTTTTGCAAAATCAATCCTAAAAGTTCAAATTTGGTCCCTATAGTTTGCAAAAAATTACACCACATGTCCAAAACTCGGTTTATGTTTTTTAACTTTATTTTCATTTATTTTTTATTTTTTAGTCAAAACTAAACTTGTTTTTATATTTTTTTTCGTTTTTTTTTGTTTTTTTGTTTTATATTTTTTAACTTCTTTTTTTTTTTGTTTTTTTATATTCATTTATTTTTCATATTTTTTTTTCGGTTTTTTGTTTTTTCTTTATTTTCGTTTTTTTCGTTTTTTTAGAAACAAACAAAAAAAAAACTCAACCACCAAAAATACAATATACAATAATATATTCATATACTTTACACTTTTTAAAACATATCAAAAGAAATTATGAACTCTATCAACAATAGGGGTCCAATTTCTTTTGAGACTTATATTATCCCCCACCGGAAACGCCTAGATATTTGAAAGGAAGGATCCTCGCATCACAACCAAAAATTTCGGCACAGTTCGAGACATCACTATCTGACACACCAATGCCATATACTTTTGACTTGTGGAAATTAACCTTTAGACCTAAGACAACATGGAAACATCTTAAAAATACACGCCAAATTTGCAAAATTAGAGTTGGACCAATTACCCACAAAAAGAGTATCATCAGCATAAAAGAGGTGCGATAACACAATACCACATTGGGAATTTGAACCCCATGAAAGAGAGATTTTTGACAAGCAGATTTCATGGCAACATTGGGACCCTCCATGGAAATGATGAAAAGAAAAGGCGAGAGAGGATCGCCTTGCCTAACACCTTTCGTTATGGGAAATTCCTTGGTTGCAACTCCATTAATTAAAAACGAGTCTCTAGAGGAGGATAGACATTCCTTAATCTAAAATTGCCATTTATCACTGAGTTCCATTTGCGCCATCACTAAATCCAGAAAAAACCAATTAATAGAGTCGAAAGATTTGTCAAAATCAACTTTCAATAAGAACATTTTGTTTTTGGTACTTTTAGCCCAAGAAATTGCATCATTAATGATCATAGTGATAAGTTTTGAGCATTCTAACACTCCTATGGTGTACATGCAACCCTATAAACCTTGGATCTATGTTTTCTCTATTATACATGCAAATATTCAATATTCCAAGGTTTCATCCTAAATAGCATATTATGGAGCAACTATACTACAAGATTCTAGTTAGATGACATACCTTTTGATGGAGCTTGAAGTCTTGAACCTTTAAGAGATTAGCCCCAATAGCGTGGAAGCCTCAAATGGAATCACAAATCACCAAATCAACTTGGAAATCTTAAGAGAATAGTATATACTTGTCCAAGTCGGCTATGCCCTCTTTGTTCACACACTAGTGCGAATTTCAAGTGCCAAGGACCTCTTTATATAGTATGGTGGATTATGGTTACATCCATGTAAACCCTAATACCCATGACCTTTCATTTACATAGGATCCATGGGTTAAAAGCTCCATGGACTATCCATGTAAGCTTAGCCCATATATATATATATATATATATATATATATATATATAAGAGTCCATATTTAATTAGTTTCTTTTTGATCACATAATTAATTCTTGACCAATACTAATTAAATAATATGATTTCATATTAATATATTAGAACTTATAATATATTAATAAATCATAAATATACTATTCTCAAAAGATTATCCATACAAATTGTTTCGGTGAAGTGCAACCCAAATGGACCATGCCGGGTCGGGTCGAGTACATACCAATAATAGTTATGGTCTTAGACATCTAATCCAACAGGCTCCCACTTGGATAAGTCTAAAGATATTATTGCGTATGACTCCAAGATCCCGACTAGCAATCGTAGCTCTTAAGGCCGTTGTCGAACTCTAACCTAGTCAAATGACGTGTCCATTAGATAAGGGATAATATATTCCTCCATTCTAGATATCATATGGACTGAGACATGGATTATAATCATTCTCTCTGTCCATGTAACACCCCTAATCCAGCAGACCAAGAATGTAAAGGAAAACCCTAAGTCAAGGAGTCAACTTGTCGAGTCCAAGGAAGAACTCGACAAGTAGAAGCGAGTTCTGTGTCGTGGATTAAGTGGCCGACTCGGCGAGTCTGGTCTGGGTTGGGAAACCCTAATTTTGGGACTTGGTGCCCTATTTAAGCCTCATATTCTCATCCCCTCGGCCTCCTCTTCAGCCCCTAGACCCCAAACTCTCACCCACGAAACCCTAGTGCCTTTCTTGTGATTGTGAGCCATCTTTGGAGTGTGTGTGGTCTACTTGGAAGCTTGAAGAAGGAGAAAACCTTGGAGGAATCAAGAAGAGGATTGTAGATCCAGAAGTAGCTTCTCAATCTCATCACTTTCTGGTAATCAAGTCTTGACCTTGCTCATCAACCTCTTAGATCTCCTCATGTCCCTTTTGTTTGAGTTTTGGTTCAAAAGCTAGATCTATGGGGACAAGGACGTCCCAAGCTTAGACCCATTCAGATCTGGAGCCCCTAGGTGTGGCTAAGGCATAAAGGTGCAAGCTTTATGCCATTAGGATGTCCCATGCAAGCTTAAAGAGATTATCATGGCCTTTTGGAGCCCTAAAGGCCATGCAAGGAAGTAAAGTCCAGGACTTTACGTGGTTATTGGATGTCTAGAGCCTAGATCTTGATTTCCCTGTTTTGGTTTGGAGTAATAAGGGTTTTGGATCATGGCGCTATGTCTTAATGAGCTAGGATTTTGTCTAAACCCATTAAGAAGGACTTGGGATGGGTAAAGCTGGAAACTTTACCCTTAATAAGTCATTTCCAGAGTGTTTATGAAGTTTGGAGTTCAGATCTGAGGTGTAGGGGCTTAATCCATTAAGATAGCCCAACAGACAGGAGGACTCGGGGAGTCCAGGGAGGGACTCGACGAGTCTAAGTGAGTTGTCCTGTTTTCTGTTATGGAAGAACTTGGCGAGTCAGGGGAATGACTCGGCGAGTTGACTCGGTTTAGCACGAGTTTGAATAGCCAGGGAACTCGGCGAGTCAGGGGCTGACTCGACGAGTTGGTTCAGGATTTTTGTGTTTTGGGTTTTAGGACTCGGCGAGTTAAAGGAGGAACTCGGCGAGTTGAGTCAACTCGGAGGGTTGACTTTGACCATGGACCGTTGACTTTGACTTTGGTCAGAGTTGACTTAGTTTGACTTCTGAAGGGCATTTTGGGACTAGTGTTATGTTGGTATTGGTAGCTCGGGGAGCTAGGAGAGCAGCAGTTCGGGGAATTGTCGAACAATAGCCAGAGGTTTAAGCCAATCTTCAGTTGTGAGAGGTGAGTCTCCTCACTGTGTGCATGGGTCTACGGCCACAATGCCGACCCATTATGTTTATGTTTATGTATAGTAGGAAGACCTGGGGGCTAGCCCTAGGAACTCCTTGTGACATGTTTCAGATTTAGATCCGCTACCGGGGTTAGCCCGATGCAGTTTATATGTTCCACATTTTCGTCTAATGTCGGGTGATACCCGAGGCAGTAGTGTATGTGTAGTTATACTTCTTGTCTTTGTGATACTTGTATATGCCTGGTAGGGAGGTGAGTTCGGGCGAAGTCCTGTATCTCATCACTAGCTGAGTACGGACGGGGTTCCGTATCTCATTAGCAGCAGAGCATGGGCGAGGCCCGAGCTAGGAGGGAGGTGAGTGTGGGTGGGGGCCCGTATCTCACTATCAGCAGGAGTGTGGACGGGGTTCCATGACTCATCAGTAGCAGGACAGGGGCGGGACCCAAGATTGGCGAGGCCTTAGTACGAGAATACAATAGAGTAGGTTTAGCATATGTGTTATATGTTC